TATATATTTTATCCATTTTCAGCAGAAAATTACTCAAACTTAATCAGAATCATCTTGGGTGAATGAGAGTATTACTTTGTAAAATTGGGATTCCTGCCCCATCCCCAGGGGCTAGGGCGGGGCCCCAAAGGGAACATTTACCAATATTTTCAAATTCTTATCCATTGATGACATGACAAGTATTGTATTTCACTTAGTTAACATGCTGATTTCCACATCACATCTAAACAATAAAATAAAGCTACCAGTACCTATGATATAACTCAGGTGACCGCTAAGGCCCTTGGGCCTCTTGTTTAAAATAACTATTTCAAACCTAATTTGTCCAGTTCTACTGCGCCTATTGAACTAAAACTTGGTAGGAATGATTGACTCATGGTCCTTGCAAAGTGGGTTTTTCCCCGGGCCTGTCAAAAATCCAAAAATCAAGTTATAATAGGCCGATTTAATTGAAACTCGGTCTAGGAATGATCAACTCATGGTCATGACAAACTTTAGTTACGTTAAACTTAAATATTTTTTACTCAAATTGGTAGGGATGATTGCCATCATTATCTCCACTTCATATTTCAACAACAAAAATAAATACTATAAAATACAGGTGATCGTTAAGGCCCATGGGCCTCTTGTTTGTTTATACAATTTATTTCTGTTTAGACCTAGACGACCTCCAGGAGGGAATAAAAAACAGACGCCTTCTAAGCCAGTCCTACCAAGAGTGCCATCAGATAGCTCGTAAGTAACAACAAATGCCTTACGTTCTGCAATTTTTCTTGAGAACAAACATTGTTTTCGTGTCTTGCATGAAATAGTAACATGATATTCCTCCCATCTGTTGAGGTATGTTTTACCCGAGTGTCCAGCTACATCTGATCCCGTTTAACAACCTAAAACAATTTCCATCAGTTCGATGCAGTGATTCATTATAAGATAAAGTTTAAATGAAATGCCCATTTTACCTAAGATGTTATCACAAGAACACACGTGATTTCAGAATCAATAACACACGTGTGTATGGGATTTATGCATAGAGTAATAACATGTCTTATTCGTGTGTGTTACAGTAGCAGTTCCGGTGGCAATAGACGGACCAGCGTGAGAAAGTCCAATTCTGGCCGGTCCAACCGATCGTCAGATAATGTTGATATAGACGATTTACTGAATGATATGTAGTAAGGAAAGTAGATGTAATGTTATTTACATGGCAATGCAATGTTACTGACGCGGAAGACTGAGGCGTTGGTGACAATAAAAGCCATGTTCTCATAAAAAATACCTATTATTACGAAGAAATGAAACAGAATTAACCACAGAGGGATCAACAGAAGTCTGTTATTCAATATGCTTTAGGATTCAGGATGCATGGCTTTGAAATTACATGCGAATGGATGAGATATTTTACCATGTTTGTAAATTTGATATTTTTATAATTTAATATTGAACAAAATTAAATGAAACGTTTTGAAAAGTAGAATGTATGTTTAGGATGTGTTTAATCATTTTGTAGAGTTTTGAGAGAAGAAGTAGTGAAAGCGTTTCATTTTAAGGTTGTGTGCCATTTATCATTTCATTTAAACTGTTACAGAACATTTGATACCTACGGTAATTGCAAGTATACAATTGTTTCTGGACACTGGGCATGGAGGTACAGTGTAGCTGATTTATCGTAGATTCATTGTAGTACTTAGATGTATAGTATCATGATGGAATTTGTTTATACGAAATGTATGATAAAGCAGTTAAAATGAATGAAATGTTTTATTGTCTTGCATAACTTCATATGTTGAGGTAAATAATGAATGGTGCCATTGGCATTGCGTGAAATAAACTTCTGAAATCCATTACATGGAATCGTGTTATGTTTACAATTATTAGTCTTATTTTCATGCAAACATTAACTAAGCGTATATTGATTTCTTCAGTTGGTCCATGTTTCTGTAGAAATACATAATAATACTACTTCCTTTAAATGAGACTCGGTAGTAAAATAGTAGAAATATAGTTGACAGGAAAGAAAGCATGGTACATGAAGTTTTATTTTTTTTCTTCCTTTTTTCTTTTTCATCAAGAAATTGTGTTTGCCCGTACGTTAGTATTTGTGTTAAGCTAGGAGGGGCATTGTGGTTTTGAAAACTTAAATGTCACTATAATTTCGGTTTCATATGACAATCTGGAACTATGTTATTTATAAATGCATTACTGTAAAGTTCCACACATAAATATATTTACAATAAATTGAGTTTGGGTTGAATATTCGTGGTTATAAAAGTGATGAATGGACTTTAACACCAGATGAAAGTTTTGAGTTCGTGCCAATACTTCCATCCTGTGGTTGCGTATCTGAGTCTTTGGGATACAGAATTCACAAATTCATACACTGGATTCTACATGCAGGTAATTATCTTTAATACCAGTGCAAACCGGAAAGGGGAGACTAAGTTCCATTATTGTGTGAACGATCATTCTGTACAAGCCCCGAAGGGCCAAGAGAGCTTATGCCATGGTGCGGCATCAGCGTCCGTCCGGCGTCAATTTTTAGCTCGCCTGGCCCATTTGAGCTTATGCCGTACTGCGGCGCATGTCGTCCGTCCGTCAACTTTTTCTTTCAAACGTCTTCTTCTGGAGGACCTAGGATCATGATATTTGGCCAGTAGGTACCTGATATGGAGTGCTATAAATTTCCACATTTAAATGACATTGACCTACTTTCAAGGTCACAGGGGTCAAATATGTTCAAAAATTCAAACAACAATATCCTAGGAACCATTTTGACTAGAGTCATGATTCTTTGTTATGTTATGAAGAATATTTTTCTAAATTACAGTAATGAGGTCAAAGGTCAACTTAAGTGATAGTCGGGGGGGNTCTATAAGGTTCCTCATTAAAATAACCTAGAACCTTCTTTCAAGGTCACAGGGGTCAAATATGTTAAAAACTTCCAACAACAATATCCTAACAACTATTTGGACTAGAGTCATGATACTTGGGTATGTTATGTAGACCAGCAGTGCAAATCTTTTTTCGTTCTTTATTACAGTAATGAGGTCAAATGTCAACTTTAAGTGCTAGCCAGAGTCAAAGGTCAACATGGGTTAAACGCTTTAAAATTCCAATTTCAAATTTCAAACAACAATATCTTGAGAAGCGTTTAAGAGATGTTAAAATGTCTTGTGTTCTAGTTACCAACTTAGGTCTGAAGTTACCTATATGTCAGTTTCATGTAATAAAAGAAACAGGTGAGAGATACAGGCCCTCTGGGCCTCTTGTTTACTTCAAACAACTTCTTCTGAATAACCAAGAGCCCCAGGTTGATGATATTTGGCCAGTACCGTGCTGGGATGAAGGGCTACCAAGTTTGTTCAAATGAATGACCTTACCCATTTTCAAGGTCACAGGGTTCAAAAATGTTAAAATCTTCTTCTGAACAACCAAGAGGCCTAGGGTGTTCATATTTGGCCAATAGCATGCTTGGATAAAGGGCTACCAAGTTTGTTCAAATGAGTGACCTTCGCCAATGTTCAAGTTCACAGGGGTCAAATAATTTGAAAACATTTAAACGACTTCTGAATGCCTAAATGATCCAGGGTGATGGTATTTGGCCAGAAGGATGATGGGATGAAGGGCTACCAAGTTTGTTCAAATGAATGACCTTCGCTCATATTCAAGGTCACAGGGTTCAATTTCTGAAAAACATTTAAACAACTTCTTCTCAATATTCAACATGCCTAGGATGATGATATTTGGCCAGTAGCATGCTATGATAAAGGGCTACCAAATTTGTTCAAACAAATGACCCTCGCCCATTTTCGAAGTGACAGGGGTCAAATATGGTTAAAACCTTTAATTAAACAACTTCTCAATAACCAAAAAGCCTCGGATGATGATATTTGGTCATGGCCAGTAGCATGCGGAGTTAAAGGGCAATCAAGATTGTTCAAACGAATGACCTTTGCTTATATTCAAGGTCACAGGGATCAAATATGTTTAAAACCTTTAAACGACTTCTTCTGAATTACCAAGAGGACCAGGATTATGCTATTTTGCCAGTAATATAATGGGATGAAGGGCTACCAAATTTGTTCAAATGAATGACCTTTACTTATAATCAAGGTCACAGGGGTCAAATATGTTTGAATCTTTAAATGACTTGTTCTGAATAACCAAAAGGTCCAGGGTAATGATATTTGGCCAGAAGCATGCTGGGATGGGAAGGCTATAACTCTGTTCAACTTAATGTCCTTGTTCGACTTTCAAGGTCACAGGCGTCACATGTTTAAATCTTTTAATAGGGTCTTATGAATTGAACACTGGTATTTTGCCTGTAGCTGTATATTAGTCCACTTTTAAGATTACAAATGTGAAATTAATACCAGATGAGCGATTCAGGCCCATTGGGCCTCTTGTTTTCAAACAAGGTGAACTTGTAGCAATTTCTATTTTTTAGCTGAAAATGAATATTAAAAAGGGTAAATATATAAGAATAAGCACAAACTGTTTTAAGGATTATGCACCAAGAAATGTCTAATCTTTTTAAGAGTTAAATGGTGCTGGTACTATTAACAGAATTTCGGTTTCTGCACAGTAACATTAAATACAATAATCGCAAATCAAACGCTCTTCGTAATACATGTCAAGTTATTATTTTAAATTGCTGTATAGATATAGAGATCAATGTTAACATAATGTTTTTAGCCGGAAATATACCAATACAATGAATATTCTTTATCGTTTAAACTTTAATACATTGTTTTTTAGGTTACCAAATATCATTGCTACACTATTGTGGACTTGATATGAAATTTAAAGTGGGCTGTCTTGCTGTACAGTGTAGTTGCAATTAACAATATAAATAATTCGTTTTCATTTATGCAAACATAGTAATTTGATGGTGATATGAACATTAACAAACAAATAAAATGAGCAATATCACATGAAGACTACATTCTACATTACTGATCACAGTTCCACTCTCCTCAATTATATAACTGTTTTTATGGATAAAGTTGCTGTATCCTCTACACAAAGTATTACCATAGCTAGAGCTTCTTTAACAAATGGAATTCATCAATACTTTGAGATATTTTCAAGAAATAACACAAAGTTTTAGTGATAACAGAAACATATATTGGATATTGCCCAAATATTGTTGCAAACATTAACTGCTTTTAATCATATAACCAATTGTATAATACTATCAATATGTTTAACTTTGACTTTGTCAGTAAAAGACAAATACTCAAACTGCATTTCACTCTGATAAGCTGTTGGTTGGGATTCCATTTACTTTCCATAAAGATCGGTTTATTACAAGGTCTGTTGCCTGACTTTCACAACCTCGTATGCTGTCTTTTTCTTGTTCATCAATCATCACTCTCGCTTTTCGGAGTGATATAGGCGATATGTATTTCTTTATCAATAGCAAATGCGTATTAAGAGTTAAATAGGGAAACATAAAGCGCAGCATTAGATATAAAATTTGGTAAAAAAATGTGATTGAGATCCCCTGCTACGTCTTTGTGTTATATGATGGTCTATGTTTTAGAATACCAATATTGATGTTTGTTTGAGCAGTATATAGCCCTGTTCATGGGTTTGTGTTTGCAAAGTGTTTTACATTTATAGATAGTGTTTAGTTGTTTTTGATCCTACCCATACATTTGTAGTTGAGCAGTTCTTTATCCTACCCATAGATGTTTGTCTGAGAAGTTCTTTACCTTACACATGTACATGTATTTATGAGTTGGGGAGCACTATTTTATGTTACCCATATATGTGTATTGGAGTAGTACTTGCACTGCTTTACCTTCCTAACCAATACATCTGTTTTATAGTGTTTTACCTTTCCCGTGGATGTTTATTTAACAGTGGTGTTGTGTGGGAGCAGTGTTTTATCTTGCCCATAGTTTGGTTGGGCTGATTTTTTTAGCTCACCTGGTCCGAAGGACCATGGTGATCTTATGCCATACCGCAGCGTCCGTCGTCCGTCCGTCAACTTTTTCCTTAAACACTACTTGTCATTAACGACTAAGCAGATTTTGACAAAATTTGGTCAGAAGCATCCTTGGGTGAAGGGGAACAAATTTTGTATAAATAGTGGGGTCTGGCTCCCCTGGGGGCTGATGGGCGGGGCCCAATAGGGGAATGAATAGCAAATTCTTCAAAATCCTTCTTCTTCTGTAGGAATGAAAGGATATGGTCCATATTTGGTCTGAAGCATCCTTGAGTGAAGGGGCACCAAAATTGTATAAACCGTGGATCTGGTTCCCCAGGGGCCCAATAGGGGAAATAGAGGTAAAAACCTTTATAATTCTTCTTCTACTATAGGGATTAAGGGATATTATCCTAATTTAGTCTGGATCATCCTTGGGCAAAAGGGACTCAATTTCGTATAAACAGCGAGTGTGGCCCCCTGGGGGCAGAAGGGAGGGGCCAAATAGGGGAAACATAGCAAATTCTTCAAAATCCTTCTCCTTCTGTAGGAATGACAGGATTTTGTGGGTCTGATCCCCCTGGAGGCAGAGAAACGGGGCCCATTAGGGGAAATAGAGGTAAAACCTTTTAAATCCTTCTTCTACCCTAGGGATTAAGGGAATTTTTCCTTATTTAGTCTGGAGCTTCCTTGGGCCAAGGGGACTCAATTTTGTATAAGCAGTGAGTGTGGTCTCCTAGGGGACAGAAGGGCGGGGCCCAATACGAGAAATAGAGGTGAAACCTTTAGAATCCTTCTTCGACCATCGGGATTAAGGGATTTCATCCTAATTTAGTCTGGAGCATCCTTGGGTCAAGAGGACTCAATTTTTTGTTTGAAGTTTGTTTTCGCTATATCTCAAGTACTGGATGGATCTTTCTGAAATTTCATATGTACTTACAGCACCTACTATGGAGTGCTATATCTTTACTTCATACCAATTATTTTAAACATATTCAGGTGAGCGATACAGGCCCTCTGGGCCTCTTGTTCTTTTAAGGACGTGTGTCCCAGTGTACTGTTTTTCTATAGGCAGTAGTCTTCCTTTAATTCCCGTTTGTATATAACAATAGCACTGTGTGACCAGGACACTTCAGTAGACCAGATATAGCTAATTCGGTTAGATCGATACTTTTATTATCTGAAATCTAGAACCCGGTCAAGCCCCGTGTTACACCCAGAACACTGTTGTTGTAAATGTAGATCATTTAATCTTTAATGTTTCTCATCAGAGTCCCGCAAGGTATAGTTTTCTTTTAAGAAATGTTTTTTTTCCCAGAGTTCGGAAAAGACGGTTTGCAATGCTTAGTTACAGATTTTGGCAGTGATATCGGGATCCTTAATGTTTATTGGCTATTCGTATTACGTTCCCTGTGTGAAATAGGTGTGCCAAACTTCACATTTTACTACAGCTTTATCTAGTGCTCAAGTATGATAGGATGAAATCACAGATGAGATCGAGTGTTTGCTCAATTTCACATACAAGCTTATTAAATAATTTTAAACACTTCGCTGAGGTTTGTTTATTCTTATAAGTCGATATATTGAATCTGTTTAGATATCAAACACCGTGCTGGTTTATCCCGCTACCAGTAATACCTCCAGGAGAGTTCCGATAAATTTCCCGAAAATCAATAACTCGGGAGTAATCCATCTCATGTGCTTAGCCTTTATGTTCCCGACGTTATCATCAAGATCAATACCTTTTACTTCTATTTGTGCAGACGAAAGGTGTGAATTGATTCAAAGTTGTTTTATAGTGCTCGGATGAAATTGCCGACTACTTGTAGAGTAAAATATGCACGCTGATAAAAACCTGTTCGATATCCGCGATTCATTGAAAAATAATTAATGATCTTCGGACATCTGACAGAGGACAGCCGAGCTCCATTAGCAGGTAGGTAACATAATCCACTGTACATTTGTGTTACTGTTAGGATTTATCCTTTTCAAAGAGCTGTGCTGCGTTGAAGTTATATAAAATCTGAAATGATAGATGCTTTTGTCTGATACTAAATTAACTACAACACTATCTAATAAGCTATACGCCCATACATTTGAACTTTGAATTGTTCTCGGACAGCGATCACACACTGTATGAATGTCAAATGTTGAGCAGAAAAGAATACAATGAAAGCACAAGTCATTTCTTCGTATGTGTGGTTAATAGACTTCATGCATCCGATTCGGCCTTTATTTGACTCTGTTTTCGTTCGTTTTGCGAGTTCCATCTCACTGTGTTGTTAATAGCAAAAATGGTTTTACGAAATTTTACCCTTTACTTTGCATCAACCTTTACAGCAAGTTCGTCGAAATGAGCTGACAAATTACATGTATTTGTTTTTGATAGCCAGAAGAGCTAGCGTATAACGACAGATGTGATGTCATATATTTCCACATTGTCTTTATATCTGCTATTTTTGTCGTTATCGAAAGAAAAGTAGTTTCTACTTTTAATACTTGCATTACATCTTGCACACTCAATCTTGGAAATATAAATAAGAACAAATTAATATCATGTAGAAAAACACAATCAAGACCGTCAAATAGCTACGTATATTGACACTGCTTTCATATGAATGTAGAAGTACTGAGCTATATCAGATTCAGGTGCTAAGAAATTTCTTAGTTTGAATTCTGGTCTTGCCCGTTGTTTTCTTTTCTCTCTCTCTGTTAAATCCGTTAAAAGATAATGAAGCAATATTTATCATTTATGTTCATAACTCGGATGGAAGCGCAGAGGATCATCCTTTGATGTCTTTGACCATCTTAAAGATTTGAAGCATAAAATGTACTGTGAGCATTTTGAAAGGGGGGCCTGAACCTGGTTTGTATATAGTATCTTGGGAACAAAGCTTTAAAGAAAAATGTACAAGAAGGTGTTTTACCGATACGCAAATACGTTAACAAATATCTACAAGTTATATAGCTTTTTGAACCTTTACCATTTCCACATAGCCATCTGTCAAAGAGCGATAACGCGAATATTTCTACACTCGGAAATTTCCACTAAAATAGTATCTTAAAAACGGTTAGATAGGGCTTTTACGTGTGTACCGGTAAACCATATTATTTAAATTTCTCGTATCAAAGGCATATTTTTCTGGTTGAGGTACAAAATATAGTTTTGATTGTACAGGTAAATAGTGTCTTTGGCGACGAAAATATAAAAAATCGAGAGATGTATGTAATGGGAACAGGATAGGTGACTTAACTTGCTTTAGGTATCCCGGTCGGTTAGAACGTCTGTGGTGTGCGGATATCACAGGTTTAAACTGACAGCTTTCGGACCAGTTCATATGTGGTACATCTACGTTGCCTTTCTTCGGTGGAAGAAGAATAAAAACATGATGGTATACCTTGTCTTTGTTGAGGTGTGGGTGAAGAATGTTATGGATTTGCCTGTTAAACTGATTCACGAGAAAAAAACCACGTACATATATAATTTGTGTTTTTGGCTACGCTAAAATTAAATAAAGAATCAAAAGGATAACACTCTATTCCTATGTGTCTTTTTTTTTAAATTTAGGTAACAACGAAATTTTTTCGAAAATATGTTCCAATGAAACATATGCCAGTTTTTAAGTACAATGTGCTTTTGGTTTCCTGTTTTTGGTTTCCTGTTTTCGGTTACTGTTTATCAAACTTCAAAGACATGAAGAAAAGAATACCAGGATTCTCTGATAAGGAAAAGTTTTACACTTCTATCTTAAACTCTGAAGATATCACCAATTTACTTAAAAAGGCATACTCTTCCGCTTTTGTCATTTGTTTGTTCCACTATATTAATTATGTAAGGAAACAATTACACATAATGGAATAAATCTTATAAAAAATTACCTGAAGCGCATTTTTGTTTCGTCTGTTTCATATTTAGATATTAAATTCGCTTGATATAGTTTTGTAAAAGTTCTATGACGGATATAACAGGGACAGGTTTACGATCCTCTGTAAATGGATATATTTGTTTAAGGTTATACCTACATTCAGTTCATACTGTTGTAACGATTCCCGGCTGCCCGTGTTGAAGGACGTTATATGTTCTGAACATTTTATTCTCTTTCGATAGATTCTGTATGTTTCATTAAGTGCCATATGAATGCATCTATAACCGACTTAAGAGTATACTTGGTACGCTCCGTGACACACGATGAGGCATGATTTATTGTCATTCGGCGTATAAGTCTATTATCTACTCGTTATAAAATAGTCTTGTCTTTCAGAAGCGGCTTTAAATAACCATCAATATGACAGGTTTTATTAACCCTTAAGCCAAACATTGTGGCAAGTATTTGAACAAATACTTGAGACCTGTCGATAGCCCACACGGGGCACTTGTGGGGTTTACATCACCTATTACCCCTATCGATTATGTTATATCGCCTCATAGACCAACAGCGACAACGACATCGTGTGTTCCGCAGGTGTACATGTATTTGTATATATCAAAGGTGAAAAGGTTTCCTTTGTGACAAACGACAATTAGATAATAATGTATTTTAAATCGTGAATAGAAATATTTAATGTTTTTACTTAACAGAGTAAATATTTGGGAATGTTTATAGTGTTCGGTAACACGCAAAGAGCTATTAAATAGGAGTTGGCGGATTAAATTGTATAGACAGTACTAGTTATATTCCTGTCACGTCCTTCGCTATTTAGTAAGTGACGGATTATGTTATTTTATGGAGAGTACTAGCTATATATATATATATAGACGCATGCCCTTCACTATTTAGTCAGTGACAGAGAAAAAAATTAAAAATATTTGTTTGGTTCCGTAATGAATAACATTTATATCACCTGATGTAAAACAAACGAAGACTATTCTTCCATGTATTGTAATAATGTGTACATGTATCAAGGGTTGTGATATATTAGTTGGTATACTATACTGACAAGGACGATACATAATATGTGATTTTTTGCGAGGTGAGAATTATACAGTCAATAAAACTGGTGACGTAAATCTTGGGTTACTACTGAGTTTAAGTATTTTTCAACATCCTTATAGAAGTTAAACGTTTTGCATTGCAAATGGTTATGTGTAACTGTTTGAAATCCTGAAATCCTTGTCTTAATAGCAACACGTAGATACCACCCCCTATGTATATATGAACGATAAGATGATACTAATTCTCGAAGTTACTTTTAGTGACAATGTTCATTAAGACATTGAAGTGGATTCATGATTTTTTGACATGAGAATCTGCATGATATGAGAGAGAGAGAGAGAGAGAGAGAGAGAGAGAGAGAGAGAGTGTGTGTGTGTGTGAGAGAGAGTGTATGTGTGTGGTATATTATATGTACTATATACACTGATAAGTACGTGAGTGGAATTAGGGCATGCTTGCTGAACCTTACCGCGGTTTTTGACTGATACAAGTACAATGTTAAGCGACAAAACACCTGTGGAAAAAAATGCGTACATGCAGTGTTATGGGAAGTTTAAAGAAATTGTCGAATTAAATGCTATTTTTACGTTATCCTCTATCGTACAACATTACTTTTCTAAATCACTGACATTCAATGATGTAATTCTAGACGCTGTTTATCATTCTTAAGTCCCATTAAATATCAATGATTCGGGGAGGTAAATACGAACCATATATTATACCTTGAGTTTGTAAAGTAACCCAACAATGTGCTATCCCATTGTTGACAGCTGAAAGGACAAGTCTAGGCCATGGACCTAAACCCAGTGTTTGTACATACTGGTACCGCGTTTAAACAACAAACGTCGTTAACAACATGATATTAAGTTACATGCACTTTGATTTATTACAACGAGAATGATATATTCCCTGTTTGAAAAGCTCTAAAAAGATATAAGAATTGATTGTACCAGTCATTAAAAAAGATATACAAGCGCGGCGAGAAAAAGTTTTAATCCCTTGTGTTGACATTTCCTACAAAATGACAATATTGGGGCGAGGTTAAGAAATCCCAATGAAATCAATAGCTGCATACAAACATAAAATAGAATTACCTAGAACAAACTTATGTCTATAAGGTAGGACGAAAAAGTAGAATATATCTTGTATTTGTTGTAACGACGCCTTTCATTGGCCGATCTCAGTACTTTATCATTGGATGAATATTCGCTATCCACATTTTCCCCGTACTTGTAAACAACATATGCTCAATACATTGCCGTTTTTGGGGGCGATGGTGATTCACGTTTCTAACTTTGAGGTATGTTTGTTTGATACTTTTATTCTAAAGCCATTTCTGTGTTTAAGTTTCAGCTTTCAGAATCACCCTGTGAAGGATTGCCATTCTATGTAAATCTTATGATGTGTCGTATACTGTAAACGAATTTTGAAATTAACAGATGTTAACCAAATTTGGTGAGAAGTACCCCTCAGTAATGTAGATCAGAGTTACAAAAAAGACATACATGGAAAGAAAAAATAAAGTCTATCATTAGATGTTTTCTATGATGTTCTTTGCAATCCATTTTGCGTCATTTGATTGTTAAAACCTTCGAAGTATTCTTTTGATGATGACAGGATAGGACCAGATGATATTTGGGGCAATTAATTTATGGCATGGCTTGCTGCAACGTTTGCGAAAAGTGTTGACGTTTTCCAAAACTAGATTATTTGTACATGCTGATATGATATCTCATACAGAACTAAAATACCTAGAGTCATTTTAATTTGCAACAAACATCTTAAGTATTAACGGCTTTGACTTATATTCAAGGTCACAGATATTAAGTTTATCAATACACTCAAACGCCTTATAATTAACAAACAGGGGACATATAGTTTTGCAAAAAGAGCTTAAATGACTACAAAATTTGTGAAAAGAAATTACCTTTGACCATATGCACGGTAAAAGAGCGAGACTTTTTAAAAACAACTTCGACTGAAGAACCAAAGGGCAAAGAGTCATAATATTTCATCAGTATCTTGCTAAATTGTAATGTTACAAAGTTTACGAAAGGAAAGACAACTAAATCACTAAATCAGGTAAATGTCTTCAGGATACTTTTGTAAATGTGTGTAATTTTACTTATAAATGTATCAATCTTTTGAATGAATCCATGTTAGGAAAGCATTATAAATAAATCTGTATCTAGTCACTGTAAATACACAATATATCATGGTAAGGTTGATATTCCAAAGTCAGGTTCGACTGGAAACTATAAATGTGACTTCGCTAAATTAACGGTGTATTGGTACGAATATTGCTCAGCGGTAGGTTTTCCCTCGTAACTCCTTTATCTAACGTGCTTCCATCATCGTGACCTCATCATGAGAATCATGACACACACGACAGGTAATTGTAGGGCGAGTTTCTGCTGAATTTAGGGCAATATCCACTTTCGACATTTCATAATTTGTATTGCCTAGATGTGTTCAGTCAAACATATTTTGTTTGAAACAGGTAACGTCCTAAACAAATTGGATACAAATAAATAACAGATTACAAGACGTCCTTTACTCTATAACTAACTTACAAGGGTTTATAGGGCAGCGAATACATAGAAGTAGTGTTTTAAATATATTTAAGATAAAATCAGACGTACCAATTTGATGCACAATGCAGATAGGAATGATTTTATTTGCATCAATGCCCTAATATTATTTTTACTGATATGGTACATGTTAATGGATTTACCAGTAAACAATATTTAATCAAATAATAGATTTGATTAATCTTACAGTAATCTTAATATCCAAATATGGGAAATTAATTGTAAACCATGAAATAAGCCTCTCCCAACCAACTATGCAGGTTGTACTCCTTCTGCTTAAGGGTCTTATGTATCATTCAACATTTGTATCCCTGTGATGGTGGTCCTCCAATTTCTTCGTACGTAATCTTTGTCGACATACACAGCCAATACATACACAATAGTTAAGCATTTATACATTTAACAATTATGGAATAAGTCATTTCAACTAACGCATTGGAGTCTTCATGTGGGAGGAACTGGAATAACCGGAGAGAACCCACGTGTGCGGGTAGGTGACAACATACCTTTTCACGTCCGATCGAGGAATCGAACCCCGGCCGCCTTTATGAGTTCGCTATCCCCAGCGCCATCCGACCATCCTATCAAATTACCCACACACATTGCGTTTCAAGTGTTAGATTTTTGTTCGAATAACCGTTAACTGTATGGCAGGTATTTATCATCGATTTGCTATTAATGGAGGAAGGGCTTTTGTTTGACGCTGCTTATTCTTTTAATATTATATTTTCCCCATTTACGCTATTTACCAGCGCAATCGTAAAACAAGATAATCCACTCTTCTGCGTGGTCTAATTAAAAAGTCATAAACGTTTACCATTGATACTGATATATATGCGTAAGTAGCGTGACATGTATAGAGCTCAAGACGAAAAGTGTTTTATCGCGTTTCATTACTTGCACTGGAATTACTTTAAAGAAACGTCGGGAATTTATATTTCTTTATTGTATTCTCAGCACGTTTGTTTGCGCTGTCGTTAACCTACGAATAAACCTTTCGTTAGAGAAGAAAACCGTTTTATTGTCAAATCAAACAACAAAACAGAAACTGAAATATGTATACCTGAATTATAAGTAGTTTGTCAGTTTTATGTTAACAGCTGATAGATAAGGACGTAGAGAAATAATACACATAAATTAGCACATTTAAACTAGTTTAATGGTAGGCGATGTGAGCTATTGTGTTGGATATTAGGGGGCATAGTTTAAATGTGTTCGGTTAATGCTTTTTGTCGCTTTCAACCAAGGATTGCGTGACGTCACCAATATACAGCTCGCGGTTTGTATCGTACTCGGATATCTATTAACCATATATATATATGCACTGTGGAGGCGAACACCGTATATACATAAGCAATGTTTACGTCCGAGAGAGTATCTATAGAAAGCTACGTCGATTTGTTCATGTAGTCTTATACACTTTTGATTTAGCTCTGATAGTACACGACTTAATAACTATACTTGGAATCGGTTTATATTTTGTAAGCATCACGTACATGGTCTGGTTCGAGAGATGATAATGCCTTTCACGCTTTACAAATAGAAAGTGCACTGATTCTAAACACCACTTCATACCTAACTTTCCCAAGCCCTACCACTACTCTTCATTTGCCATTCCAGCCCAATGCAATGAGACACTTCAAACGAATGTTTATTGTGTTGAATTCGACTTTCTTATCAAAAGCCAAAAAGATGACTATACCTCGGCGTTTTTAATTTTTGTTTTCTAAGGTAATATCGAAGAGGTGTTATCTAAATCAAATTAGTTTGGGAACGATATTAAAAGCGGAATATTGTATAATGTGTGATAGTGTCAGCTCATCTAAGTGTCAATATACAAAGATGCCAAAACCTTTAAGCAGTCACTGTAGGAAATTACTTTTATCGCTGTTGATTATTGTTAAATGAAGCCAGTCTGTTTACGAATGCTCTCAGGAAGAACCATATCAATGTTGATATTCACCCTAGGTATTTGTCAATAGACATACGTCGTTTCCCCCATAGCTTGACAAAATGTTATGAAAAGCAAGGTGAACATCAATTTAATAATCTCTTCAGACACATCGGTCCTAGTGCGAGAACTTGTTAAAATTCATGTCATCTAGATTCATGACACGATCTTAACAAATTATCCGTCCGCTATCAGCGGAGAATATCTTTAGTGGGATACGTGTTAAAATCTCGAGTTAAGTATATATTTATTTGAATCGGCGCAAAATGCATTATATAAACCCATAGAATATCAATGTGTGATAGTGTCAGCTCATCTTAGTGGACCAATACTCACTATCGAATAGACTTTTCTATTGGATAAGACTGAAAAGAAGAATTGTGACGGGTCAAATGAAGCGAGACATTATTTACGCCCGATATATGTGTATATATATTGTCAGTCTAGCGGCTTTTCTTAGGTTTACCTCTGTAAGCTTTACAAATATGAAATATTTACCTTGTCAAATAACGTTTAATGTTGAAGTATTTTCGTTATGAAAGTGTCTATGTTAGGAATGTATATAATAAATACGGCAAATGTATATACAATAATTACATGTTTTGGTTTATTAGTCGTAGAAAGAAAGCTAAACGTTAAATTTGATATATGAACACTGCTGACAGAGCTTAAAGTCGCGGTCAGCGATAATGGGTTTAAGATGCGTTATAATTCTGACATTGAATGCATGGTATGAGTGTCGTGTTGGTCGTGTAGATCTAGAAGAAACCAAACAACCCTACAGCTAATATTGACATCGTACTTTTCCTTTTTCCACAGGTGTGCTGGGTTTATGAGTCGGGGATGAACTTTGAAGGTAAGCTATATAAACCATGTTGCTTTAATTTCCAATTTATACATACGAATGTATATTATTTCATTATCATTTTTGCTAAAGGTAAGTTTCAAGTGTCTAACAATTGAAATATGGAGTTCTACCCGCTGATGTTCATAGATTAACTTACTCATCATGGTTATCAATCACCTCTTTTTGTTTATCCACTATAAACATGTATCCAACAACATATGGTCTGGACAAGAGCAGTATTCAAATTACTTATGCGAAAGTGTTCTTATCATGCAATTAGACAATTAATGAATACCTCAAATTGTCATGCAGTTAATGATGTTTATAAATCATCATAGGTTTAAGTAGGTAAACTAGGATTATATTACCTGTGTATATTTTATATTCCTCTTCCGAGGACAATTGCATTACGGTATTGAGACTGGTGATACACGTATGGGCGCAGGCGATCTGCATACAGGATATATAACGAATTTGTCCTTCTTTTAAACGTACATATCTTGTAAACGAAACTTAAGCGAAAACTGAAATTACCAATTCAAATCGATCGTGTGAGAAGTAACACGCGGATGTGTACCCGTTTCCTTTGGTTACAGCTAGGAATGTATAAACAGCACATGTCACACAAGTTGTCACTAAGAATGTATTTATTGACGTTTTTAAGTGTGTGGAATTCCTAATTTTCAAATGATTTGCTATCTCAATAGTATCGCATTGGTTATGATACGGCTATATATTTACATTGCCGCTTATATGGACAATACTGGATGAAATATTTGTTCATAGGGGTACGCATTTACTAAATTACTGACATTATAAATACAATCAATGTAATGACTATGAATTTTGAATGTTCCTTGTGAATTGATACGAACTTTACGTTGGAGTTTCATGTCAAATATGGATGTAACCGACTTGACACCGTGATAATATGCAATATCACCTGGTGTGAGGAAGGTTTATGATTAAAAATTAATGCTGATCGGTTGAATTGATTGTTGTTTAGTCATAATGACATTGTGCATCGCGTTTAAATCGTTCAGATTGAAACACAAAGCTTTAACAGACATTGATAATGCATGTTTTTCTTCACACAAGCTACCTTTGTTGCGTAGATAAAATCATGTTGATACAGGTACCGTACTTTGTGTTAGTTATCCATGGCATCTTAACATACATTGTTAATGAGAACATAGTATGCCCATTTTCTGCAACAGTGCGTGTAATTACCTTTCTTCTGAAGTTAAGCGTCACGCCAATTTACACATGTTATGAAAGGTGATACAAATCATCTGATAGAATATGTTTCTTTTTTTTTGTTCCAGACCACCGGTGTTGAATTTCTCCTTAGTTTCGTAATTGTTCGGGATGGAACATGGATCTTCTAAAATGCCGGGTACGCAAAACAACGCCACAGGCAATATTATGGCTCCAAGGGTAGCTTCGAATGACCAACAGACACCTGGGAAAGGTGGCGTGAGTTTGTCGTATATGCACGGCCCGCCACGCATCATGCCAAACTATGGCAACAAGCGTCGAAGTCTTCTTCCAAAGACTAAAGTCTCGCGTGTCCTTCTTTACGATAATATCACGCAGCAACAGATGCTTGACGTCAAACTCTCTCACATCAAGCTAGAAAAGAACCGAACGACACGTCTTCTTGACCTGCACAAGCGATCGTTCCTGTTACGTCAACAGAAGCGTCAACAACAAATGCAGCAGGTCGGGGTTGTATTACCAGAAATAGACCATCCAAACAAGAAACAGGATATATTGACTCGCTTAACGAGTCAGTACTCTAAGCGATCAGTCAGTTCGATAGGAGGTCGTCGTAGCGTCACCTCTGCCGAACTGGAAACTTTGAAATTGCCAGACTTGGAGATTTCATCAAACGAACACAATAATCCACACGTTATATTCAAGATTAAAAATGCAAGTGGCATCACACAAATATTTCACACCATCGACAACGAGGGAGTATTTTCTGACATAGTGCCTTTGTACAAATTCTATGACAAAACCACAGAGGACCCACGTTTTCAAAGCCTCGAAGGTTCGCTGGTTCGAACCGCAGTTAGTACGGATGGGTTTAACGAATTAAGTGCTAGTTTTAAAAAAGAATATCCCAAATTTCCGGTACATTTGCAAGAATTCATTGACGAAAACCACGCATTTGGTTCTTCGGTGTAAATGTCTAACAGAAAAGTGGAATGTTTTCAATATAGAGAGGTACGTCAAAGTGTTTCCAAAAGTGATCGTGTAGTTATCAAAACTTGTCTGTGAAAACATAAACATTATGTAGGCATTCACTGCGTAGGCAAATTTCCCGGACTGAAAATATCATATATATTTTCTCAACAGGAATCGAACCATTTGTTCGGCAAAATTCTTCCTAATCCGAAGTGCGAAAGTTTGTATTACCAATTACAATTATTATTGTGGAAACAGTCTGGATAAAGTGGTTCGACATCAATAATAGCACAGTGATTTGCTTGCTTACAGCTTATGTCTTATCGTTTGAAACAGTTAACACAGATTGTCTGATTGTCTGAGAAAAACAAATGTACATTTTAAACATAATTGTAAGCATTACGTAATGAACTATTGGAAATATTTAGACTAACGAGTACTTAGAATGCACCCCCTTTTAACTTTGTCACAGACTTTCACAACCAACGAAGAAACTCGTCATTATGTACAGCTAGATGTAAAAAGGTCAGAGCAAGTGGGTTATATAAGCTTTTCCGGGATTGCCATACCAATCACTTCACTCCTATTTCCAAATTAAAGTTGAAGGTCCGCGAATTTTCAAAATTGCTTTGTTGTCTATACCGTTTTGTCTTGCTTATACATCGTACCTATCCTTGCGATCCCATCCTATTCAAGTGAGCTTTCTTTGTCAGAACTCATCACTGGTAACGTGGCTTTTACTCTACGATATCGACATATGCGTAGATCAATTACCGGCTAATGCTGCGCTGATATGTATTTGGTAACCGAGTGTTTATTTGGCTTTTTTTCCTGTATCTTTGATTCTGATAAGATGAATCTGAGTTATGCGCTTGCGTATCACTTCGAAGCTGCTCATCGTCAGATGATTTAGCACTGCTGGGTAATACAGATAAAGCAGAACAGGAGTGCAGACACAGATGACAGGACAGTGTCGGGTAGGAAGACTGGTGAGATGTTGAATTCATTGCTTGAAGGAACTTTAAACTATGGTTTAGTCTACGATGCAAGCAAGACAAACATATGTTCATCAAAAATATATGCTAAATATGTATTTACTGGACTCATGTATGTCATAGAAACTAGGAAATAAGTTATGGCCTTAGCATGTTGAAGCATTCTAAACAAAGACACTTAAGCAGCTACACCATCTCTCATACCTGACAGCGAGAAGACTGCTGTTGTATGGTATTTTACTTACCTCTGCACGGATTTAAAACAGCACCTTTCATCTCTGGATCACCTTGACGACATCTCGACGAACCCAGGCTCCGTCGTTGAATTAAGGATAGTGGAGTGCAAACTAAGTATCTACAAGATTATTATAATGTATAACGTTATATTCTCAGACATCAGGAAAAACCTCTCGCTCTATGACTTATCAAAAGCCTTTAAGATTTTGATTCAACAATCAATGAAGATATATGGGAGCTAACTCTGATATTTCTGAGACTTCATAGAAAACAATAATTGAAAAATGACATTTTTGAAGTACATAAACATGCAATTTCAATGAGACAATACCCGTCATTTACTTCGTGAGACAAACTTAAAGAATTTATCTAGACTTGAAGACTTTTGAGATAATCAGCGGTATTAAGATACAGGTGACATAACTTTGAGGTAGAAAGAATTTAAAAAGTTCAAACTTGCTCTTGAAATAGCATCACTCATGTTGCTAACCATTACTTATGTGATCGTCTATTGTTAATTTTAGCTCATCTCGCCCGAAGGGTGCGGCGTCCGCCGTCCGTTCGTTGACCGTCCCGCGTCAACTTTTTATTTTAGACAACTTCTTTTGATTAATAAATATGCCTAGGGTAATGGTATTGGCCAGCAGCATGCTGTTCAAATGAACGACCTTAGCCTTTTTTTATGGTCTTAGTGGTCATATAGGTTGAAATCTTTTAACAACTTCTTCTGAATAACCAGAAGGCCATGGATGATGATATTTGGCCAATCACGTACTGAAATGAATTATCCTGACTCATATTCAAGGTCACAGGGGTCAAATATGTTTCAAATCTTTAAATGAGGTCTTCTGTAAAACCACAAGGCCTAGCATATTGATATTTTGCCAATAACATACAAGGCTCAAGGGCTACCAAGTTTGTTTAAATCAATTACTTTGATTTTTATTTAAAGTCACAGGGGTCAAACATATTAGAATCTTTAAACAACTTCCTCGGAAAAAGCAAATTGTTTATTCAGAAAAAGTTGTTTAAATCTTTTAACATACCCAGGGTGATGATATTTGGCCAGTAGTATGTGGGAATGAAGGGCTACCAAGTTTGTTCAAATGGATAAACTTCGCCCATATTCAAAGTCATAGGGGTCAATTGTCTTTTAAAAAAATAACAACTTCTTAGGAATAACGAAATGTCTAGGGTGATATACTTGGGTAGAAGTATGCTGGGATGAAGGGATACCAAATTTGTTCAAATGAATGACCTTTTTTCCCATATTCAAGGTCACAGGGGCCGAATATGTTGAAATTTTAAACGACTGATTAACAAAACGTCCAAGGTGATAGTTTGTTCATATGAATTACCTTAATATACTTTCAGGGTCACATCTGGTAAATTGTATATAAATATTTAAAAGACATCGTCTCAATAAACAAGAGGTATAGGGTCGTGATATTTGGCTAGTTGCATTCTGTAATGAAGGGCTATACAGTTTGTTCAACTAAATAGCCATGTTTGACTTTCATGGTCAGAGGGGTCAAATGTGTTTTAATCAGTGAACATGTTCTTTTGAATGACTTTAAGTCAAGACACTGATATTTTGCCTGTAGCTTTTATTTTAGTCCACTTTTAAGGTAACAGTTGTGAAATTAATACCAGGTGAGCGATGCAGGCCCATTTGGCCTCTTCTTAGTACTTCGATTGATGTCATACGGACTTAATCGAAACTAAGTATCACACAGCGAAATATACAGAGCCTGATAACTGGAATATATCTACAAATCAATTTGATTTATTTCACAACAATTATGAAACAAGTTATTGCAATTTTATTAATCACATTTACTGGCACGGAGGTGAGTGTGTGGGGGTCTAAATGTGGCAAAAAACCCCAGAGAACCCGGAGAAAACCCCACGAGGTCGGACAGGTAACCCCATACTTTTTCACGCCCGATTGGGGAATCGAACTCCGCAAGAAGAGCAACCATAAAAAATATTAAAGCGGTTGTTAATTTTTTTACAACACAGATGCTGATAAAACTCAACATCAATGTTGCAGTATTTAATGTCACAATCTTTACGGTTTCAGTTGTATTCGTCAGCTCATTCACAAAGCCACAACATACAGATGTAACTTACTCAAATCTTTAATCGAATTCAAAAATAATTTGTACATCAATATATATTAAAACCAATAAATCAGTTTGTCAGTTCAGCGATCTTTCATTGAAAATCAATTTTATTACATTAAAGGTACAACTGGATAAGATAAATTCCGAAGTGCTATCAACATGTTGAAATCATTGGCTTCAAATGCTATATTAAATCAATATAAAATTCTATCGGATTAAAGTAAATATTCCGTCTTTGCGTATTGCAGAGTTATCTTCTCTTGGGAGCAGGTATTGATTGTTACGTCATTGGTTTGTGCGAGAAAATTACGTCGTTTTCTCAAAAATTGATGACGTTACTCTCACAAACAAGTGACGTAACAATCAATACCTGCTCCCAAGAGAAGATAACTCTGCAATACGCAAAGACGGAATATGTATATCAACATTTTTATTTTAAATTTTATTCCTGTTTTCATTTTTGAAACACATTATTTGCAAACCAAATAACAAGAGACTCGATCAGTTACAAATTCACAATCTAGTTTCAACAATACGGTACTTGTTTAAGGTATAATAAAACAAATCGATGGTCCCGGTGAGTTAACCTTATTTTGGAATTTCCCACCTCTGATCTGACACATCTGTAGACAAAAAAATAACTTGCCTAGATGTAACCTCATTAGTTGTCGCTATACATTTCATAACCATAAGGCCAACTTCTTCTTGAAGGCATAATTCCAAGTTAAACTTCTATGGAAAAAAATCTCCAACAACAAAATGTTTTAAATAAAAAAACCTAAACCTGGAGCGATGTCTTGATATATTCGTACTAGTGTGTAGGTAAATCACCTGAGAAACAGTAAGCATCCCTCTACATATTCACCTCTGTCTCGGAGTATGTTGTTGCAAATTAACAATGTTTTCATTGTAACAACCTCGTTCGCATAATTTAATCTCATTATTACATTTTTAAAGTTGATTTAGATATCGTCTCTGTTAAGTCTGGTCATCGGAAACCTTGCACTTCAAGCGTTTTCTCCTAATTTAAAACAAAACCCAGGATAGCAGAAAAAAACATTCTCTGTATTGTGGTAACAACATTAACTATTTACAAATCTTTAACGCATTACATTGTGACATTACATCATCAATCTAAAAACAAATCGCCACTCTTCAAGACTCCACGACAACATTACGCACAGACACTACTGTAGCCTCCCCCAGAGGTCACACACCACTGAACCAATCCCCGACAGTCTTACTGTAAAGACAGTTTCCACAAACCACTACACATCACATCGACAGTCTTACTGTAACCACAGAGGCAACACCGCTCCACTGTAGGCAAAGATGCAAAACATCGCTACGCCACTCAACAAATCCTCGATGGTTTTACTGTAGAAACAGACGCAACACACCAATCCACAAATCTTCAACGGTCTTATTGTAGGCTTATAAGCAACACAAAGCTCCACGAATCCCCGACGGTCTTACTGTAGGCTTATTATATATACAAAATTCGATATAGCTCCATATCTAGCTAACATAAGCCTCTCTAAAGCACTTTACATTACATAGATATGTAATTTATACAATAAGCATATACATTAGTCAATACATCTTTGAGGAATTCGTAGGAGCTACCTTATCCTATGCCACCTGGCTTATATCTCCCTATGTGTGTATGTCTACGTCTGTGCTGGAGATGTCCAATACATATGTAATGGTGAACAATATGCATTCATGCATGAATGACTATAGCTCATGCTGCATGCACACCAATGCCCGGTCCTTGTTGACTTCATTACCTTGCATTGTTCAGTAGCTGTCCATTCTTAAAACAAAACGGTACCTACTATTAATACAAAGGGTGCTGTGTTTTAAGTAGGAGAAAGGCCGAAAACTATATTTTCTCACAGAATGGACAGTTTGAGGACAATAATGTACCACTCATAAAAGAAACAATTGATAATGCATTTACGTCGAAACCAACAATAATTTACCAGACCACCAACCCGAGTTCAACGCCTTTTATTCAGCAACGTATTACTTTTAACAACACGTTCCGAGTTATAACTAGTTACCGACAGAAACTGTTTAATTTTAATTGCCAGCCTTACCTTCATACCGATATAACGACAATCTGTTACATCAGAGTATTAAAATGTTTCCTTTTTTATTCATTTTTACTTATATCTTTACGCATGTATATTTACTTAGATTTATCGCCAAATATGTGATATGAAGGTTTTTTTTTTCTATAGCAATTA